TGATGATTATGATAATAATGATTATGATGATGATTATGATAATAATGATTATGATGATAATGATGAAGATGATTATGATAATGATAACAATAATCAAGGGAGAGATCTAAAAATCTCTACTCACATGTGATTCTGAGTCCAGGAGTCGATCTCGAGACCCCAGAGGTGAGAGGCAATAGTACTACCGACATTCCACCATGCCACCCACACAATGACTCAAGGTAATCCCCTTAGGAGAATCCCACTCACTTACAACTGACTCAGAATAAATAGAGGTAATTAAAGGACAATCTATACCAACCTGGTTTGTAAGAATTACAATAAAGGACAAAATATCGTCTATGTCTCCACCGATCTTGAAAGGTCACATTGCTACGGAATGATACAAAAATATCCTGCCCAGCTGACGTGAAAATTGTGTAGGGTTTCCCAGGTGAATAGCAAAGCCTTCCCAACAAGCGCTCGGTGGTAGCATTCATTGAGCTATAAATCTCTAATTGGTCGTTTCCATTACAGTTGACGCTGGAATCAGCTTGGATCCTCACCACATGATTCGGAGGGGCTGTGATCCGCCATGAGCAGGTAGCGTTGGGTGAATAGCCTAGATCGTAGCTGTAATATGGGCTGGTTATGTTTTCAGTTGAATTTGACGCTTGTAGGGTTGTTAAACCTGTGCATACTATGGATAGAAATGATTTGACAATATGAAGAAAGGCAAAAACAGTATGTAGCAGCAGACCAGTAGCAGCAACAATAATAATGACATTAGCGCTCTTTTACCATATGCATATGTTCAAAGGCGCTTCACAATGACGTTTTGAACGAGAGGTGGTTAGGCACTGAGGATGGTCACTGCCAGTGTTTCTCTACGTCCTCAGTGGTTCTTTTACGTCCCTCCGATGTTGGTTAGTAATGATGAGTGTGGAGAGATGGGACCGCCATTTAAAGTGGTCATCCGAGCCACTTTAAGGTCTAACCATTTGCAGATGTAATTACAAAGGCAGCACCTTCTTCTCAGTTATTTTTAAGACCCTGAGTCTTGGTCCGGCAGAGGCTTGAACCACGACCTCCCGCACAACAGACCGACGCTCTTACCAGCAATAGCAAGCACAAGCAAGTGAAAGTAACAACGATAGCAACAACAGCAGTAGCAACAAAAACAGCAATATATCACAAGCAAGAATAACAACAACAGTAGCAGAAACGAACCTTAACCAGAGCAACAGCCAAATAAAGCAAAAACACCAACAACACATGGCTAGCTTCAGCAAACACAAACAACAACAGCAATAACAGTTACGACAGCACAGTAACAATGTCAGCAACAACAGCAACTACGGCAACAACAGCAACAGCAACATGCAGTAACAACGTTAGCAACGAAAACAGTAACAGTTGAAATAACAATCATAATAACAAGGACAACAGCATCTCTAGATCTACTCCTACAGACTAGGCATGCAAGTGAAAGCTAGGACAATTGCTATTAAATGACTACTCCTACAGACTAGGTGTGCAAGTGAAAGCTAGGACAATTGCTGTTAAATGACTACTCCTACAGGCTAGGTGTGCAAGTGAAAGCTAGGACAATTGCTGTTAAAT